CGGCCGCCCTCCTCCCGTACTTGGCCTGTGTGCGGCTGCGGGTGCAGCGTCCTCCCGACAGCTTCCAGCCCCGTGGGGTGGCCCATGGCTGCGGGGGGTTGGCCGTGGGGCACGGCGTTGCCTGCAAACGCCGATCTCGGGCCCCTCAGTGCCTGCCCGGGATGGGGATCAGCCCAGTTCTCTCTTAGTCATCACATCTAGGTACAAACATGAGAAGTGCGGGGAAAACCTGGTGGAGGTTTTTCCTGGTGGAAAACCTGCTTGGGAACGGTTGTCTCGAGGCGGGTGAGGGCTGCCCAGGGACAGCAGTGCTGTCCCTGCGTGGCCCCGTCTCTCTGCTGAGGGCTCCATTTTGTGGATTGGTGAAATTCAGTTTGGCCACAGCTGCGTAATGGGTAACCCCAACCTATCGCTGCACGTTGGGAGCTCAGCAAGAGCGGGCATGAGCAGAGAGGGAGTTTAACAGGAGCAAGTCTTCCAGGGCTGGTTGGCTCAGAGTTGGATTTAAGGTTTTTGGGGCTGCTGAGCGAGGGTGGTCTCCCCCATGGCACTGATGTAACCCGTTCTATCCAGGGGCTGACACACGATGGCCCACAGCCACTCTCGGAAGCGATCGCGAAGCAGGAGCAAAAGCAATTCTCGGAGCAGACAGGAGAGGAAGGAGAAGAAAAGGAGGAAAAGCAGCAAGGACTCACACCGGGGCAGCAGCTCTCCTCCGAGGAAGCGGACCTCTGGGTCTCACAGACACAAGTCGAGCTCAGGGGCAGCTAGGGAAGGTAGGGGAAAGGCCCACGACCCTGCGTTTTCACAGTTTCATTTTTCTGGGGCAGGTGCACAGAGGGGGCCCAGGTGGGAGAAAAGGGTCCCTGCTTTTAGCTAGATCGGTGTCTGTCACCTTGCCATGCACTTTGTGCCCATTTTAGTCTTGTTCCGACAAGGACAGAGCCCTACAGCCTCTCTGCGTGCTGGTCTGGCAGCGTGGCGTGGCACCACACGCTGTGATGTGCTAAAGGTATCAGCACGGAGGGGTCTTTGCCCCAGCGTTTGGGGGCTTTGCTGTTCAGGCAAGAAAGAACCCTGGCGGGGGGGGGGGGATAGCCAGCATCCCTGCTGCGTGGGGCCAGAGCTGCTCCACTCAATCACTTCTTATGTATTGCAGAAAAGAAGAAGGAAGGAAAGGACAAAAAGAAGAGGAAGGCAAGTACCTCTTCCTCTGAGACAGCATCTTCATCCACCGGCTCCTCCTCGTCTTCTTCTTCCTCCAGCTCTTCTGATGACTCCAGTGATGGTGACTCCAAAGCTAAGAAGAGTCGACACAGCAAAAAAAAGCGAGTGAAACAGAAAGACAAAAAGAAGAAGAAGAAGAGAATAAGGAAGAAATCAAAAAAGAAGTCAAAGGAAAGGGCTAAGGAGGAGAAAGCCAAGGAAGAAGTGGTGCCTGGCCCCTCGCTGGAACAGTGGCAGAAGGAATCGCTGGTGGACTCCGGCCCAGGTAACGATGGTGGTT